ATTCGATTCGATTCGGCCCAGAAAATCTGGTTTTTCAACTGGTTTTCGGCTTTTCAATCGATCTTTCGCGTTCGGTTTCTTCACAGTATTCGCACTAAAATATTAATATTAATTTCCAAGCTGTCGGGCTTCATTTAAATCTTCACTAAAATATTAATATTAATTTCCAAGCTGTCGGTTCATTAAATTTAATTGGATAATGTTTGAAAATAAAAATTCAGGGTATTACAATTAGAGCCAAGGATAGAAGTGGGGTAATTTCCTGCGAAATTTAAGCTATCTGTATCTATATTCATTTAAAAATTTTGCTTTCTAAAACAGTAAAATAAAATTTTTTTTCTCCATTTTGGCTCTCTTTAAAAGTTTTTGTTTTTACCCTTCAATTCTAAAGTGAAATTCTGGCCCGTTAGCAGTGACATTTATATATTAGGTGTGCCAGAAAGATGTCAAGGACCTACCAATTCCATCAATACACCTAACTAGGGGTCCAAACATGCATGAAAATAAATAAATAAATAAATAATGTTGTATTTATCCACATTTGCTCGAATGATTACTTGCAGAAATGCTGAGCTGTAATTGTTGGATTAACTTTCATTATCCACAAGGAAAAGATGAGTTGCGAGTTGTACTTTTTATATATTATTTTATTTAATTATTTCTGTTTTACTTTTCAGGAGAATTAAGTTGTCAGTTTTATCCATTATACATTTTCTTAAACTGCAGAAATTACTTTTTTATGCGTAAATATTTTCGACCTATTAATTAAATTAAATTAATTTATGATGTTCATTAACTATTTAATTTAGAATTATAAAATTAGTCATCCCATTAAAATGTTAAAATTAAAGAAAATGAGATAAGAAAGTTATCGTATGATTAATGTAAATTAAGTATAGTCTAGTTGGTTTTCGCAGTTACATGAAGAATGGAAAGTCTCAAGTTTGAGTCATTTCGATCCCAATTGTTTTAACCAATTTAGTGAGTCCAGGGAAAGACTCTTCTATTGTGTAGTCTGACTTTCAGCCCATCAAGCCTTCCAATGGAAAAAAAAAAATGGTATGGCTAATGAAATCAAATATAATTATTAACTTTCTTTTCATTATTTTCCATCATTATTTTTGGATATAATAATAAAATAAAATAAATTTATTTTCTTCGTTGACAAAAAAATATTATTATTGAAAAAATTGACAATTAAGTCTTCATTTAAATAATAGTATATTTAAGAAATTAAAAATTTGTTAATTAATTGGGGTCATTGGGTATAATAAAAGTGAGTGAAATTCTCATTTCTCTTTATTATTTTCTCTCCAAATTAGACAAGTTCAAAACATGTAGGCTAGATGAAAAATCAGCGAAATATTAATTTACTTTCTTTAATATTTTTCTCCTCTTTCTCACAAAAAAAAAAAAAAAGGAAAAATTTTTTTATCTGAATATTTTCTATAGTTATTTTCCTTCCTTGAAAAATATACTCCCATAGAAACAAAGGACAATGGATGGGACCTTTTCTCGATAATTAGGCAGGGACAGCAGTTGAACCTGCATGTGAACACAGAAAACAATCCTAACAATTCCAGCAACACTACAACTCAATCACAAGCTTTAATTTCAATTATCAATTATTCTTAATTTTTTCAAGCAATGTCATTTAAATTACTAAGTCTTATTATTTAATTTTCAAACTCTGTATGTTAAAAAAATCTGGTGGTGGGCAATATCATTGTGGTAAATTTTTTTATCAAATTATTATAGTACGTTTTATTATAAACTGGTATGTAATATAAGGTTAGTCCAATATGGTTTTGATGTAATTAGATGACCTAAACTCTATATTTAAATGTGGAAGTATATTAAGTCTAGGTCAAGTTTATTTTTGTGTGAATCTTTTGGTTCTTGAAGTTTATGTTGGATTTAGTCAACATGCCGTATCAGAGCCTGCATATATGAGCTTAAAACCACAAGTTTTGATGGACTTTTTCATTAGTTTGAGAAAAAATTTTAGAATTTAGTTGAATTTAGTTTCTTGAATTCTTGAATGATTTGCTGTTTTTGATTGATTTAGGATTAATAAAGAACTGACAATAAGGATAAGATTTTTTTTTGTGTGTGTGTAAAAAAGAAGAAAAAGAAGAAATTAAGCTGCTGTGAAACCCAGTTTCGCTACTGGAAGTTTTGCGAAGAAGAAGAAGAAGATGATGATGTATCATTGTTTATGGCAAATTATAGAAAGATCTTTAAAGTTTTGGATTTGTTTTAAAAGACCCATAATTGTTTTAGACATTTCTGTTTAGTCCTAACATTAATTTTAAAGTCGTAATTTAATTAATTTATAACAATTATGAGGATATATTTTTATCTCATAAATTTAATGCATAGTTTTCAATTTCAATGACAATTAACTTTTTTTATAAAGGAATTCAACAATGTAAAGTATTCTATTCTTTTGTGAAATTTTAAAACATTTAAAAGTTGTAAAGAGCATCGTGGTGTAAGAATTTCTTTTTATTTTGTATGAAAATGCAGCCATTAAAGTAATCTTTTTAATTGAAATATTAAGAAATGATGGTTTTCTTGTAAGTAATGGTTTTCTATGACTTGAAGCATTGAAATTATCCTATGTTATGCTAATAATTGAAATGTTGACTTGCTTTTAAGTATAAAATGTCGATTAAAAATATTATTCTAGTTATGGATTTAGCGGATATTGATATATGGTTTATATGGATTCTATTCGATGCATATAATTTCGACCTTTTTATCATCTAGATTAGCCTAATTTTGAGCACTTTAAATAAATCAAATTTAGTTTTGCATGCATTGCAGATATTTTGCATTTGCTTGTCTTATAGTGTAGGTCTTATCTCTTCTTGGAGAAATACCCAAAAAGTATAAGGCATTGCATTCATTTCAAGCCAACCAACAAAAGACAAAATTGCAAGCAAGGTAAACAACCACTCTATTTTGAAACACCTAGCCAAAAATATGGCATGTTCTATGGCTGTGCTCTCTCTCTGAAGAAGTCAGAAGCCTTGCAACAAGAAGCACGAACCGAGCATTTTTTAAAGCTAGGTTACATCTAAGAAATCCCCTCCTCAGATTGTCTGTACATGTCGGGCCGTGCTTTCTTTGAAGTTCGAAGCCAGAAAGCAAAGCAAAATCCTTAGACCGCTGTGCTTGCTCTTCTTTGGCATTAAAAGCAAGAGATTTGGTCAAGGAATGTTTAAAATTGCCCCCCATCAGCACTTGCACTATAGAAGGAAAATGATGAAAGTTAAAATAACAAGAAAGCTAGGAAACACTTAGAAAAGGAAGTAAAGAAAAAGAAATCTTATAGGGGGAAGAGATTGGAATCTTCCTTCTTTCCTTTTGGGTTTACTCAAAAGAATTTTATTCATAGTTAGCGGTCACAATTAGAGTTTGCCTCTCTTTTATTGTAGACAAGGATAGTTCTTGAGCTTGCTTTCCTTTTGAATCTTGTAATGAGAAATCTTAAGATGTCTAGTGATTAGTTCCTTAGCTAGGGTGAAAACCTGTTTGAATTGAAATATTTGTGATCATTTTTCCTTTCTTTAATCTGAGTTGATGTTTTCTTCATTTGTGTTTGGTGTGCTTAATGCTTATGGGTATATACAGCTCTATGCTTGTCCGAATATAAATGAGATAGTGAAGAACTAAGAGGTTAAACCCCTTGATAGATAGACCCAGATGCGAACTTAGAAAATAAACTCAAAAACCTCTTATTTTGTTTAAGTTACTTATACTAAAACCGATTAAACTAGATAGATTCTAATTATGAACCAAACTAATCCGATCACATTGAAAAATTGGACAAAATTAATCAAAATAACAGGAAAAATAAATTTAACTGAAAAAACCAAATCCAATGCTCAATTCTAATCTTCATTGATATTGTGATTATCCTCACCTTGAAATTTCTATTATGTAATTTAACGTGTGATGCAAAAAATTATAATAAAAGTATTGCATATTGAAACCTCAATAATACGTATATTCATAATATTCTGATTTTTAATCTTATATTGCATAAAACGCAAGTAATACCGTGATACATTTATTACAAAGTCTACTTATGAGTTCTAGCCATGAATATCAACCAAAGTCCACTTATGGGTTCATTTTACCATTTCCACCTCATTAATAAAAAAAATAAAAAATAGAAAGAGAAAAGTCAAGTTATTGGTTCTGATTTCTGGGTAATTTAATTAGTACTGGGCCTCCAGAACTAGACCTGGTCCAAATATTCCACCCCAGACTCTGAATGTAATCAATGGGAAAACTTCCTTCCGCCTTCATATAATCTTCCCCCTTCCAACAACTATGCATGAATTTTCTTACAAAATGTATACGGCTACAATCTTTGGAAATAATATTTCTTCGTTCCCAAATACTTTTTATATATAGATTTGTCCAAATTATAATAAATTATTAAGTAAATTGACTATACTACTTTTAATTTATCTAAATTATAATAAATTATTGAAAATTCAAACAATCACAGTTAATCTATGCACAGAGTAAATATGAAAAAAAAAATTTATTATTTATTAAATCTGTAAGTATAATAACTATTTAAGAACATATAAATTTCTAAATGTGATAAATATTTGAGAACGAGAGAATAAAATAGAATCAATTGTGTGGCTTCGCATCCGTTCTGGAAGAATGTTAATTGTTTCCATATTCGTAGATTGAAACTTTGACAACATATTATACTTACATATGCAAGACCTAATCTAATAATCATGTGTTATATTATGAATGTCATTATTATATATTTAAACTATACAATTTCAATAGAAACCAAACAATCATTTCTTTTTTTAATTCATTTATAAACCAAATTTAAATAGAATTTATTTGTAAATGGATTTTTCATATTTAAAATGAATTTAAAAATTAAAAATTTATTGGCTTTTATTTCTAAATTATCTTTAACATAATAATTGAAATTTTTAGCTTCCTGAACAACTCAATGCCATGAAACCAAAATTTGATTAACTATGCTAGAAACATAATTACACTTTAATTAGATCAAAACACAAATATATATAATTATAATATTAATATTTTCTATTTTTTTCTCTATATTAATTAGTTTTTATATAACACCACACTAAAAAAAAACCCTAAAAAAATTATTATGAGAGAAGATATATGAAAATCAAGATTCAATAAATCAAGTAATCATTTAATAATTCTCTTCACAGATCCATTTCATTTCTTATCTTGATCGAACTGGTTCTTCTTTAATGGTCTCCAACATTGGCTTCCTTGACCTACAAACAGATAATCTGTACTGATACTCTGCCATTGGAAATACTGCAATTTCTTCAGTACTAGATGATTCCCCATCTTCACTACCCATTTCCAAATTTTCTTGCAGATTAATCACTCCGCCGGATTCCGGTAAGATTCTACCCTTGTTATTATTTCCAGCGCCGGATATTCTCTTGGCAGCAGAATTTGCCGCCAGGAAAAGAACGGCCATATCGGCGGCAGTGACAACAGAATTCAATCTCTTCATCGGAAACATTATATAAACATTACCAAATTCTACTTCCTCGTCGGCAGCGAGTGCGGAGAATCTCCTTCCAATATGAAGAGACTGAGAATTTACTAGAAAGAAATTGGGACACTCTAACATGAGCTCTGCTGCTTTTATCTGCTCCCTGAACTGCCTTACTTCACCGCCAGGAAGTATAACTCTCGCCGCCTTGGCGCTCTTGATTAAAGGGGTGGCTAGGGTGCAGGAAACAAAATTTCCCATTATAACAAAAACAAGAAATCAAGAAAATCTTTGTAATGCTTTTAAAGAAATGATCGGCTGTGAGGAGTAGTTAAGGGATGAGTTTGAGATTGCTTAAGCCAATTAATTAAAAAGAAGGAAAAAGAAGCAAAACTAACTAAAAGAAAGAAGGAAAGAAAAAAACGTTTGGTTATGGTTAAAGGGTTTGTTGAGAAAGAATGAGAATGGTATTTTGAGTGTATAAATAGGGAATTGAAGGATTTGATTTGGTTTGGTCAGTCAAAGAAAGTTTTCCTCTAAAAAAAAATATATGTTATTTACATGAAAATCAAGTGTTGGTTTAAGGTATTTATATATTAGTATAGGAGTTGTGAAGGATTTGTCTTTGGTTGGTGTTGTATTTGCAAGAAAAAAAAAAAAAAAAAAAAAAAAAAAAAAAAAAAAAAAAAAAAAGGTCATTTATATATTGGTATAGGAGTTCGTGAAGGATTGTCTCTTGGTTGGGTTTGTTATTTGCTAAGAAAAAAAAAAAAAAAAAAAAAAAAAAAAAAAAAAAAAAAAAAAAAAAAAGAAGAATACGCGTTAGGTTAAAATAGTTATTTGAACAAGAATAGAATAGAAGGTTGGCGTGGGAAATAGTAGGAGAAGATGCATTATTCTCTTCTCCGTGTTGGTCAAAAAAAAAAAAAAAAAAAAAAAAAAAAAAAAAAAAAAAAAAAAAAAAGAAGAAGACGCGTTAGGTTAAATAGTTATTTAACAGAATAGAATAGAAGTTGCGTGGAAAAGTAGGAGAAGATGCATATTCTCTTCTCCGTTTGGCTAGCTGTTAATTGCGCGTGGGACCGTAGGAATGCAAGCTGTTAGTAGTGTTGTGGAAGTAACTAAATTGGTATTTTTAAGTTTAGGAGTTGAAGATGTTGTATTTAAAAAAGAGCAAAGGCGCTCTAAGGAGTGAAATAGTTTAGTAAGGATCCTTCTTTCCTAATCAGAAGTCTCGAGTTTGAACTCTTAAATACGGAGTATCTTTAAATACTTGAGAAGAGACAATTTGTCCCATTTTTGAATTTACCTAGCGTGAATTCGGATTAATCAATTGTGAGTTTACTGCGGATCAATTTAGACAAGCTAATTAGTTTTGGATATCGAATGATTAAAATAAATAAATAAAAATGCAAAGGCATGTGAATTCTCCTTATCAACTTTTGGTCATCAATGAATCTATCAACAAAATTAGCCAAGGGAATAGTGTATTTGGGTACCTATTGGTTGTCTTTTGTCTTTGGACCCCTCCTTTAACTTTAGTATCGACAACTACTTGTGGAAATGGTTTTGTGTTTATATTTCAACAAATTCATTCAACTCCATTGATGTTGATCATCACTTTCATAAGCCAAGTATAATAATATTATTGGTTTTCTTTTTTTAAGATGTTCACAACCTAAAAATAACATATTATCCTTTTTTTTTTATGAGATGTGTTTTACAAATCTACAGTAAACAATACTGCAATTTAAAGAAAGTTTCCAATCCAATAAAAACAAAAAATAAACTCATTACAAGGAAAAAAATTAATTTTAATCAGGGACTACAAATTTAGAAAAGAATGAAATCAAACCCAAAACTGCCTCTCCAGCTCACTAAAGGATAGTGAGCTATGAATAGTGATGAAAGCCAGTTGAGTACCCGTGAAGTTAGAAATTTTTTTTAGAATTTTATTACTTATTTTACCAGACTAAATTGAAAAGATAGGCTATCCGTAAATTTTAATCTTTAAAATCAGAGTGGTTTAAAGTATATTTTTATTAAAAATGGATGGAGTATCTATAAGTATATTCATGATTAAACTTGTTTAATATAGCAGATAATATACGACGGGTACCTATAAATCTATATCCGTATCCATTTATATTTTTCATGGATAATAATTTCACTATCAATATCTGTTTCAAATTCTTTTTATAAATAATCCCTCTTATTAAACGGATGGTAGCGAGATAATTACCCAAAATTCATTATTCTGTGCTGCTTCCATCCTACCTATAAATAGATAGTTAATTTCAAAATTTTGTCGGCGGAATCTAACATTATATTGCCACTCACAAAATTTAGGCAAAGCCATGTGTACACATGGTACAAAAATATACGGATACGAAGGACATCTATAGCTATAAGTTGCACCATATGAAAAGGAGAGAGAGAGAGAGAGAGGAACCATTTTGTTGCCCTTATCCATCCTCTTCATCTATAATAATGTCATCCCCACATGTCTTTGATCTTTTTCTTACATAAACTAATCCAAAGGACATGCATAATCAATGAAATATCAATGTTGTCCAAATGTATGAATGTGTAAGAGTTGTAGTGAAAGGTATTGTTGGTTGTACTCTCTACTGTCTATTTCCTAGAGCAAATGGTTGAATCGAACTTTTTTACAACAGATCAAGCTGAATTAAAATTTGCACATTAACGAACTGATTGAAACTGAACTAGTTAGTTCGATCTACTTTGGTCGGTTTTTACCATTTTGATTCAATTTTAAATTCAATAGACGAATTTATGCGCAATCGAAACGAACCAAACAGTAAATTCGATTCAAATCGAATGAACTAATTATCCAAGCCTTTCTTGAACACCTAACCGAACTGAAATGGATCGGTTTGATTTTTGATTTGGTTCAGTCGTTAGTTTTGCACTCCGGGGTTTTTAAACTTTACATTTTTATTTAATTAATTGAGGTCTTTTATTTTCATTTCAATTAATTAAATACAGTACCTTTTAGTTTTAGTCAATTAAACTTTTTTTTGAAGAAAATTCAATTAAATTTAATTTAATTAACCAAAAATAAAAATTCAAGCGTCTTATTAACTTAAGTTAAATAAAAACACTCAATTAACCAAAAGTGTCAAAGTTTAAGGTGCAAAATAAAATTTCTTCCCAGGTTTGAGGGGATCAAACACCTAATTCTAATGAAAATAGAAGCCTCAACATTGCATATGTATAGTCTTGAAGAGAAATTCGTCATTCGTAGAACAATGAATTATAATAACTATAACACTGTTTATTTATTTAAAATTATTTAACAAAACCATTATACCATATATTTTGATCAAAATTACTGTTTAATATGTTATTGAAAATTTTTAATGAGTAATTTGATATTTTAATAGGAAACGTTTTAAAGTTTATTTTAATATATATTAATATTTAATGAATCTGGTTGAACCATATTAAATTCGGTTGAACTTTTCGATTTAGTGAATTTTTGTCTTCACCGGTCTAATTCTCAGAACATTGCTAATAAATGTCATTTGATATCAAATGCCACCTTAGTTCTAGTAAACAAAAAACATTGCACAAATTCAAATTATATTAAATAGGTATAAATTAATTTTACAAAATTTTATAGCTCCTTTGGCATAAAAAAATAATTTCACTTACGAAATTCAATATAATTAAAGTAAATTAACTTCAAATATTTCTAAATGCATGGTGGCCTTTCAGATTATAGTAAGAATAATTTAAAGAATTCCAAATTAACATTTTATTACTGATACCCAATACCTGGGAACCTCTAATCTCAAAAGGAAAAAAATAGAATTGTTTGATGATTGCATAAGCTAACAAAATGGGAAATATCCAGTCTCTTAAGATATAGTGGCTAAAGTCTTCAAATTGAAAGGCCTAATTGCTGAGTGCTTTCCTCCATATAAAGCCTTGGAGATAAGGTTGTAAGTATGCTCAGATGGATGGAAATAATCCCAAAACAAGTAAGTGTTAGGGTTTGAACAAATCTTGTAACCTTCCTTCCCACATTGCACCAATCCTCCTAGAGGCCCATCTCCACAGCACCCATTACTAACATCTGTAAAACCTGCACAACACATAACTTATTCATAAATACAGTATGTTGCAATTCAAGAAGCATTCCACATTTGTTAATTCTAGGAAGGGTAGATTTATGCGGTCTTTCTAGCCTGAATTTATGACCTTCAGATTATTATTACCTTATTCGGCAACAGCTTTTGGGCTATTTTAATGTTATAATCAAGTCAAAACTCTATCTCTATTAGGGTCATGTTCGATAATTTTAGCGATTCTAGTAGCTGTTAGCGGTTGTAACAGTTGTCATTCGTTTTACTAGCTCTTAGTGGTTAGTTGTTTATATAGCGGTTTAAAATAAAATTGTTCGGTAAAAATAAGTGTTTGATTAGTTGTTTAATATAAAACGATAAAAAGGTAAAAAAATGTTAATAAGAATAATCTTTCATGAAATACTGTTTTAAACTTTTAACGTTATGATAGATGCGACATTGCCGAACGTGATAATTAATTAAAACAGTATTTTAACCTAATCAAAACACTAAACACTACTCCAAATGTTGTTGCGGAACATAGTTTAGTTATACTGTTAGGTAACATAACTTTTATAATAGTTTTTAGAGGTTAAAATAGTTTTTGCTATAAAACGTTAAACACTATAATGTCTAGCGTGTCACAAAAATTAATTAAATGTTTTGACAGGTATATTCATTGTTTTTTTCTCTCGAATTCAGTTAGAATAATGTCTTTTTTTGTCATTTTAAGTTAAACAATTATTTTTACCGAACACTTTTGATTTAAACTATTATATAAATAACTACCAGCTAATAGCTAACCGCTAACAATTAATAAAATAATTAATGTTTCCGAACAAACCTATAAATAGAATAAAGTTACTGTTACAACAAAATCACCCCCTGCAGAGTAAAAATAAAAGTGGGTTTACCAAAACATTGAATTGAAATTAACTAAAAAAAAAAAAAACTGAATTTACTAGAAAACTGAATTGAGATTAACTATCTAAGAATAATTAAGATAATTACCATAGCGAGTTGGAATGGCTCGAAATCGTTGAACAACATCATACACTGCACCATAAACACCAATTGCACCAGGGTACTTACTTGCCATCTCCTTCACTAACATTTCCAATCCTTTGTTATATTTCTTAACCATCACATTCATTTTTCCATAACATTTATTAATGGGTGAACCTGGCAGTAGGGCTCTCGCCGGAATGCAACCGACAGGGCCTAGCGAAAAAACAGCGATCCGGCGAGCTCCGAACTTGTAGATTTTGTCTATGAAATTTGCTGCCTCAATTAACATAGCTTGTACATATGTCTCAGGATCAAGTTTAGGGGAGCCAAAGGGGATAAAGTAGTTGAATATGTCATTAGAACCAGATTCTAAGAAGAAAATTGATTTTTCTATTAAATTTTTGTCAATCTGATTTTGATTTACTAGTGTTTGAAATTGTTGTAGCTGCTCCTGAATCGGTATGACTCCCTGCTCCATATAGAAATTAAACTGTTAGCTGATATTGCAACTACATAAAGCGAAATTATTATTATCTGTACTTTGATTGAGATTTAAACTTGTGATTTATATTTTTTAGAATTCAACATCACTTATTGAAGATCATATATATTTTTTTTAAGTATTAGGAAAATTATTTGAATCTAAATGAATTGTCAGATTATAAATGCACTTACAAAGCTACGTCTTGGCATACACCTCAGATCATTCATTGAAATTTATAACAACAACAATCATGTTTCAAGTGATTCATCTTATATTATCACATCAAGAAAAATTAACATATAATTAAAAAAGGATGATGTTAGTGTTTCTAAGAGTTGAGTTCTCAATTCAAAGTGGATATATAATTTATGGTTGTTGCTATTTCTTTCTTTCAACGTTTTTTAATGAATTAATTTATAATTATGGGAACACATTTCTAGTGATTTATTCAGAAAATCCAAAAAAGGGAAGCAATTTCACTTTGTTATTTTATTGCATAATAATAAACAATTTACCCTATATTGTGAGACATTTTTTTTTTTTTGGACCTTAAACTCGAGATTCATAAATAAATAAATAAATAAAATTCATTGTTTAAACTTTAAAGCATGACCTCAAAGACTACATTCTGATCAATAAGATATTAAATTCTGTAAATTCATTGTTCATATTTTATACACAGTACTTTTTTTATTTAGATCAAGTGTTACGCGGATAAAACTAATCTGCAATTGGACAGTTTACATTATTATTTGATTTATATGAAAAAAACCAACTATATTAACGGTCTGTCATGCCGATATTTAAATATGAACTCTTTCAAGTCTTAACTAGGAAGATGTCTCGTTGAAAACATGATTATTATATAAAATAAATAACTAAATGAAAGAAAAATTAAGAAGTTCGTTACCAAATCCTGATTTGTTTGCCTCAAAACACCACTGCCAGCACTAGCAAAGTTGATGCCATTGGATGGATAATCCTTCCTACTTCCATTCACTACTGCCTGCTTTGCCTCTAAGTATGGTTTCTGGAACTCAATTCCAAGAAATTGTGCTGTACAAAGTAAATAAACAAAGTAAACAAAACACATAAATAACTGTTAAGAATCAATCATGCATATATGTAATTCACGGTGGGAGGTCATGAGTTCGAATAGTCCGATTATAAGTATTTTTATCAATTTGATGAGTCCAAAAAAAATTTATTCATATTGTGTAACATGCAATATAATTTCGACTCATCGTGGCTCGCAACAGATAGAAAGAACATACTGGCAAGTTCATGCATGAGCATGTGCAAGATGAGCAAAACAAAATGAATTTCGAAATACTGACATATGAAGTCAACCACAGTTCTGCCATTAGTGAATCTTCCAGTGGGATGGTGGAAAAAAGTTGATCCATAAGGTGGGAAATCTGCCTGAGCACTGCAATTCTTGTTGAAGTGATTGTTTCCAGCATCAACAATGGAGTCTCCAAATGTGAAAATTGCAGGCACCTTATATTTATACGAGGAGACTAATAGAGACCAAGATGATAAGAGGACAAGTGTTAGAAATAGCTTCTCCATTATTTCTCAAGTTGGTGTGAAGTAGAAGGGATTTAGAATGGGAGTAATTATATAATGGAATGATGTTACTTTGTCGTATGGGCCGGAATAAAATATACAAATAATATATTCGCGAAATTACAGTAAGCAGCCTCGATCTTTGTAATAGTTTGATTTCATAAAATGTACTTACTAGTTGGTAAAAAAAAATTTTATGCTCTACAGTAGAGCAGGCAAAGCTAGAAATTATAAATAGGGGGCGAAATTAATATAAATATTATTGCATTAAAGTATAATTTTTCCTGAAGGTAATTAAAACATGCATGTTTTCTATGTTCTGCAGGCCACGTTTGGCACGCAAGATAAGATCTCCTTTATGTTGAAGGAAAAATGGAGTGGAGTATAGAGAGAGCTAAGACAAGATAAAACGGAAAAGCACGAAAATGGTGCTTTTACGCCGTTTTGTCAAGTTGTCGTATATAGTCTTTTTATAGCCTTAAAAGCATTTTTTTGGTCATGTTAGTATGTCGTTTTGTTCCAAAGCAAAATCTTTTGGTCCGCCTTTTTTGGCTTTCATTTGTTCTGTTTTTAATTTAACTTTTAGAATTGAAATATAAATAATGCTGTTTCGTTTAGAAACGGACACTTTGAGAAATTCAATGTACCCGTGTCGTATCTACGATGAAAACTAACATTTTTCTAAATATGTGCCGGACACTTGGAAAAATGTGTCTTGTTCTTGAATACAATTTTGATTAAATTGAGTTCAAAAGTGAAATTATAATTTGTAAGTGAGATTGGATACAATTTGGTCAAAACTAATTAAATGGAATCGTATTAACTAGTTTGATTTGATTTAATTTAATTTTTAAATTATTAGATTTCAATTGTTTTTATAGAAAAAATAATAAAAAATAATTAAATTTGATTCTTGAAAATGTTAAAAATCAAGAAAGAAATCAAATTGAATTGAATCAATTCTACCCAATTTGATTTGATTTGATTCTATACATAATTTTTTTGGATCTTTTAGATAATTTGATTTATTACTTTATATTGGTTATTTGATTTTGCATTTGTCTACCTGTCTCTATAAGGCTTTGAGATCTGTGTGAAACTACTGAAACTTGTAACACTTTTCTTTTTAAGCAATAGTGATCAGCGAAAAACAAAATTCCTAAATTAATTATTTTTTCTAGAGAAAACATATATTTTTATTTATATTAAAAACTAGACAGTATTTTCGCACGGTTGCATAATATTTCTTTTTTCAACTATAAGATATGTGTAGAAAGTAAATTGCAGAAAAATTGAAAAATACATACAGTACATATACAATATGATTTAAATATATCATATAGAATTAAAAAATTTTATTCCAACTAAGGCAACTATCACTCTTAAGATAGCATGTGAAGGAAAATAAAAAGGTAACAAATTTTATTTAAATTCAGATAGCTAAGCGATGATTAATTTACTCCATAAACATATCTTACACTTGAAAAAAGAAATATTAAAATTTATCTTAAAAAATTAACTTTATATAATTTTATTTCAAATATTTTTGTTCTAAAAATATTGAACTGATTGATAAGTTAAACAAAATTTTTACCCAGAAAATTTATCAATATGAAAATCATGAACATATATATCAAAAAGAAAAAAAAAAATACTATTAACCCTCTTAACTTATTGTCAATCAACACCTTTTGCTTTAAACTCTCCTAACATAGATTTTTAAGAAATTGGTTTGGTATTAAATGGATGAAGAGATAAGCTAATATAGAAGCTCATTTTGTGGCTCGAGCTTTCTATTTTTATGCTTATTTTTTATAGTGGATTTGGATTCCACAATGTTTGTTATCTTTCTATAATAATTAATGCAAGCTTCTTTGTTTGTCTTAAAAAAAAAAATTATCATTTTCAAATTGTATAAGACTAATTGCCGCCCTTGATTGGCTGAGAGAGAAAATTTTCACTATTCTCTTAGAATATATTTTTATGGATAAAACTAGAATGAATTACTGAGGGACTGTGAAAAATCAATGTATATTGAAAAATATTTGAATCCATTTGTAAACAGAAAGATATGGGTTCAAAATTAATTAAAAAGCTTAATTAGTAATAGTAATAATAATTTTGATAAGGTATATATTATATTAGAGATATTGCGTTTAAGATCCATGAAAGTCATAAGAGAACCGAGAGTATGGTATTTAAAAGTGATAAATTAGATAAGGTAATTTTTATACGTTTATTGTGTTTAAATTTCATAAAAGCCATAAATCAGGAAGAGACATTAAAGAAAGATGGATATTTCTTACTTATTATCTGACAATCACTAATTCGCAAAACCTCACGTGGAGTGAATATTTTTCATTTTCCGTCTCATGGAAAATCTTTTTGCTCTGCTTAGCCCTATCCCCTTTAGGGGTATTTTAGCGATAGGTTCTATAAGAACTGGACGATTTATTCAGTCAAATACTAGTGACAAATTTCTATCTTTTTTTTATTGCAGTATTTCTGAACAAGTTTATTGGTAGCAAGTCTAAGGGCTTTTTTTATTAATGATACTGACGATATTGATGATTTTTAATAAGGTGAGATATTTCTCTTCAAAATTTACAATTTTTCCTAAGTTAAAGTTGATTATTTAGCTTGAAATAGAATTTATTTGAAGGTTACTTCAACCATAAATTGACTTTCATGTTTTTGAATAAATTTTAAAATATTTATAAGAATATGGTGTTATAATCAACCTGTATTAGAATCATCAAAAATAGATTATATGTCCAGAAAAATTATATTTAGAGTCATTATTGTCAGAAGATTGTACATTAATATTATCTCTGACTTGAACGTATAGACATATATACTTAAAAAAAAGACATAATATTTAATATAAAAAACATAGTATGAGTTAAATCTCACTAAATCAACAACAAAATCTTAAAAAAAAGAAAGAAAAAATCAATTTCCAAAAGATAATAACGATATATCTAGAACAATTTATATTTTGTGAACATGATATCTGTACAATAAGGTTTTTTTTATTATTATTTTTTCATTTTTACTTTTGTCTTTGACATGTCGACTAAATTAGCATTAATTATTTAAATAAGCAACAAAAGGGTAATTTAGTTAAATTATATTTAATTATACCGTCAAGAAAATGTTATATATTAATTTGAGCAACAATTTATTTTTTGCCAGAAATAAATTATAAAGTGGTAAGAATGATTAGTTTCAAATTGAAATCGAACCGGTCAAAACCGTGGTCAATAGTTCTAGTTCTAAACCATAACTAAAACCATAAACTCAAAGTTTGGTTCTGGTTCTTCATTTTTTGAAATCGAAATCGACGGTTCCAGTTTGAAACTGTAAAAATGTGTTCTTAAAAAAACTTCTAATTTATTTTTTTATTTTATTATATTTTTAAAGGAATTTTAAAAATTTTTATTAAATTGATTTAGTTTTTTGATCATAGTATTTATTATTATTATTATTTATTTAAGTTACAAATTTTAAAAAAATATTTTAAAAAGTTTAAAATACATTATTTATTTTCGGTTCAAAATCAAAACCAAAAGTTTTAAACTCGTCAAAAACAGATCGGCTTCCAATTTTAACCTTTTTTTTTTTTTTAATAGAAATATGTGATTTTGAAACCAAAACCCGCGGTAATGAAACCGTGGCCGTGACAGGAGTGGATGTTGTAAACGACATGTTTTATGCACAAACTTTGTAGGAAAAGGATATTCAGTGGAAACGAAACGTTTCAAACTGAGTTGAGCGCAGAGTTCTTGTCTCGGTCCGTACAGTTTTGGTGATCTTTCTTACACTGTGACGCCGAAACAGCAAGAGAGCGATGAGCTATAGTAGCGGCGACAGCAACACCATCACCAAACAAGAAAGAAAAGAAGATGTATGGGCGGAAGTCACAAAAGCAGCTGATGATCTTTACGCTCTTCGAGACACTTATTTCCCACAAAACCCACTTGACAAGATCTCCAAATTGCAATCAGAATCCGACCTCGCTCTCAGGCTCCTCGATTCCATTCCTCTCGGTATTGTCTCTCCCCTCTCTGTATGTGTTCGTTGTCATTTTGAAATTTGATCCCTTCTGTCCATTTATTTTGATTTTGTTCTTTAGTTTTAGCTTTGTTTTTATTTCGTAAGAAGTTAACCATTCCGGAAAAGAGAAAAGAACTTTTAGGAATTGGGATTTAAGTGTATACTGGCTTTGTGGATTGGAAACTTGAAATGGGTTAAGAGAATTTTAGAAACCCAATTGATTTTTTAAAGAACTGGATCTTGCATACGATGGTTGTGGACCATGGGTGGATTTTTCTTTAATTTAGTGGGTTTTGACCTAATGATTAGTGATAATAAAGCTTGTTGGCTTATTATTTTGCTTATGTGACTAAGAGTTCTTAAATTTTCTAACAATATGGCAGCACTTTGCTGTTAATTGTCAACCATTGCCATTTTAGTTCAATTATAGATATTCAAGAATTAAGATATGCTAGGAGCTGAAAAAGTCAAAAAAATTTCACTTCCCAAAACCACTTCTTTTACTGAATGTTGGCCTTCATTTGGAACAAGATCTTCATTTTAGTTAAAATTTGTCATTTTTCAGAAGAAAGGAAATCACCTGTTCAACGTGCTACTTATGAATATCTGAGAGGAAAGATATTGGATGTCTTACCTGACTACAGGAAAGAAGCAGATGATCACCTCTCAAAAGCTGTAAGCAAAAATTGACCTTTTGCTCTAGTAATTTCCGCATGCTGTTGATAGGAAACTGATTATTTCATGCTCCAGGTTAAGTTGAATCCTTCTCTTACAGATGCTTGGTTGTGTTTGGGTAACTGCATTTGGAAGAAGGGGGATCTATCCACAGCGAAGAATTGTTTCAAACTCGCTCTAAGCAAGGTTATTTTTTTGTATGAATTTTCATGTTTTAAGAGTTTAGTGCAGCCATGAGCTTAATTACTGTCAATTTTGTCATTGTTCATGATGAGTAAGTATTAGCTATCATTGACTGCATTTGTATTGTGTTATGCAGGGCCCAAACAAGAAGATACTTTGCCTTTTATCAATGCTTGAAAGAAGAATGGCCCAAGGCAAATTTTTACTCTCTTCCTTTTGTTTTTAATCTTTGCATGGCTACATGGTGGCTACTGTTAGTTTTTGCTTCCTTATGGAGAATAGTTTGGAGCAAATATATATTGTCAACCCTTGAGCTTACTCTCCGAATACAAGTTTCAACTTAGTAAACATAATTATTATTTAGGATGGAATTTGTGCTCACAAAGAAATTGAAGAAAAAAAACATAGGGAGAGAGAACAAAAGAGGTGAATTCCCAAATGCCTTGTCCATTCCACAATTATACTTCTTGGACATTTTGTGGTACAGTAAATGAGTCTTCATGTTCCACTAATCTCCTCGCATGTGTATTTTGGTGCTGATCCACTATGCACTGTGAATTTTTGGGCTACTCCTAACTGGTGGTTCAAATATTTGGTTCAACTTGTTCTTGTTACTTGCAAGTCAAAATTGTAGTTTAGATCTGAACATCCATGTATCATTATGCTTACCAGAAACTTTCCTCCTGTATAGGTGCTGAAGATCAAGCTAAACTTGTTAGTGAAAGCATTCAGCATGCCAAGGATGCGATCTCTTTAGATGTGAAGGATGGATACTCTTGGTGTAAGATTCCAAACTAAATTCACCATTGAATATGCATGTTTTTCCAACTTTATTGATGGGCGCACTCAACTGATCTGTCTTAATCCAAAATTTCTTAATATAATTTACAAAATTTTTCGGCGGATGTTACATTTTGCAATGGTTGATAATAGAATATGCATTTTGCAATGGTGTGATGTTTGCTGGCCATCTGTCTGAATAGCTGTTTTTTGAGGTGTAGTTACTGACTTTAAACTTATCTTTCTGGTTGCACCCAAAAGAGTATGTGGAGACATGTATGGACAGTCTACCTAGTCTATGTTGGTTTTGGTTTGTAAATTAGACCGGCGTTAGTTGTTCTTTTTTTCCTCGATGTAGATTCAGACATCCTTCTTTTTCCTTCTTTAAACTCACACCTGTACGCCACAAATCTGCCCAACCTCCATTCCTCCTCCCAATCACATATGCTAGAGGAAAAGGGGGGCGCTAACTAGAGCTTAATGCTCAGATAATATCAACAGAGAGAAGGCTGCACTTCTCACTGGGTGCTATCTTCATAATTGCTCAACCATAGGAAATGCTGCAACATAAACCATCAGAGTTACCTTCTGTGTGGGTATATATTAGCCTTGTTGCGAATCTGACCTTTTGGATAGGCAAACATACTTTAATCCCGCCAATTATGCATGGGGGAAGAGATACTCATTATATACAAGTTGGTTATCACCTTCACGGTAAAGAGTTACAATGTTGGGCAGTGTGTCCCCCATGCACTTGTGATGGCCAAGCCATCGTCTTGCTAACATGAGACTGAGCCTGCAAGAATGCCTGAATAAAATTTTCAGATTTTTTTAGTTGATTGAGCTTTTGACCCAAATAGCATCTTGTTTTGACACATTTGATCTCATTGGCAGACAACTTAGGAAATGCATTGCTGACAAGCTTTTTCATGACTGGAGCATGGGATCACAACAAGCTTCTACAATCTTTAAAAGCATACCAGAATGCTGTTTGTCTTTGCACTGAGAACTTCTTTATTAATCCAATTTATGATTATTGATGAGTCCTCTTTTAGAAACAAGAACGGTTTTGCAAACTAATTTTTATAATGCATCTCAGTTGATAATACGATGATTACCATGTTTTGAATTTTCTGCAGTTTCACGGTTGTCAAGGATTGTTTGCTCTTTTGCTTTATTTTGTTTTATACTGAGTGTTTTGATGTTAATATGTCAGGAGAAAGATGAAAGCATGAAGTCTAATCCAGACCTGTATTTTAACTCTGCCACAGTAAGTTAAAAATTGCATTCTCATCAATTGATTGGGAACAACTTGTTTGGAAAATGAAACTTTTGAAGGAGTTTGAGTTACGTGTAATCTTGATTCTAATTGCACGGTTATCTCCTTTATTTTTTGGCTACTTATGAGTTTGGCAGTAAAGTGCAATTGAAGTTTTTGCTTTCAGTGCTTGGGTGAAAATGCTGAAAATTAATTTATTAATTATTATTAACGAAATTTTTATTTTAGAGAATTTAGACATTGGAATAATATGAATTCACAAGCTTTTATGTGGATTTGACTAACATAAAGCCATCTTGACTAAAAAAATTCTAGAAAGCCATTTCTTAGGTTGAGTTTTACCAATTCAAGAGCCAAGTATTTTTCAGCTATGCACATAACATAATATTGCACGATGGGTTTCTTTTTTCAGGTCAACAAATATTTGGAGAATTATGAGAGGGCTCTTACTGAGTTTGAAACTGCTGCCTTAAAGGATCCTAGTCTCAATGCTAATGAGGAAGTTGAAAAGATGGTTAACCTTCTCAATAAGTTAGAAAATTTGTTAAGGGTAATATATTTTTCTTATATTAATTGTCCGTATCAGGTGTCTTGCTACATCATGTGGTGTTATATTATCCTTGTTTTCTATTCAATATAAAATCTTTCCCGTGTTGTTTCAAATAATTGTTTGCTAGGTATGTAATATTTTTATTTTTTGGGTTAGTCAATAGAGAATGGTAACTAGGAATTTAGTGAATACTTATTTGTTAATACTTTCGTCTAATTTGTTAATAACTTAAGTCTGAAAATAATGCTAATGTATCCCTTTCTTCTTGGATCTCATATGCTATATTTGATGCCTGGTTTTAGGAGATGCAGCTGATTTTTCTAGGGTTTCAATTTTCAGGGACAAGCTAGAGCTAAACGACTTGCATCTATGGCGTCATCAATGGCAGCCGTTAATGGTGAGGTACCTTATTCTTATGTTTATGTGTTAGTAGTCAAATTTCAGTTCTGAGTGTGTTTTCCAGTCTTAACTGGAGTTTACTAATGATTTCGTGTGCATCTTTATTTAAAAGTGAATTCATCATACAAGAGAGCCACTGTTGACCTGTTGTTGGATGGCCTGAACAAAGCAGTAGCAATTGTGGGGAAAGTACTTTTTTTTGTTAAGCTCGAGAATGTCACCCCCCTGTAAGTCCACTCTCAAAAACATTTGGTTATTTTTTTTCACATCCAAATGAACTGAATGCAAACTCATGCTACTTCTGCTTTCAACTTGTTTTGGTAGCAGATGAAATTTCTTTAGAGTAGCTCTTAGCTAGTTGATGACAAACTTTGTGTTTGTGCATGTGCTTGCACGCCATCATGTTTGTGCAAGAAAGGTTGTTTTGCAATGCACTACTATCTACAGTAATGCCATATGCATTAGTAGCTTCATTACCAAGAGAAAAATTATTACTTAGGACAGGCTCACATTGCTTGTCGGCACATACTAGCTTTGTGAGAGGATTGAAACACTGATAATTCACATTTTTTACAAAGCTGTCATTCTTACTTTGTGAATCTTGTTCATATAAATTGTGTTGAATCAACTGATTTTCTTTCTTTTTTTTTTCTTTTCATTTTTATTCAGATACTATTTGGTGTGTGATTCAAAGCAAATATGCTTTGTTCTATCAGTGTATGGTATAAGCAACGATGCGGTAAGATCTGGCCGCCGAATTTATATATTCATTTTCTATTTTGTGCTTTGCTGCAGTGATATTTCTCTCTCTTTTTCTTGCAGCCTAGTTTTATTTAGTCATGGAATGAGAAAAAAAAAAAATCTTACTTGGCTATCATGTCAAAAATTTGGTTGAGATTTTATCAAATCTAGCAATAGTGACCTTAAAGCAAAATCAAAATTCAATGACTTAACTTGAAGTTTACATAAAATTGTTTCAAAATTTGTCAATGTATTCTCAAGTTTTCAGTCAACTTGAGCTATGACATGCACTCTTGTTAATTCATTGTGATATATCATATACGTAGATTTTGCTCTATTCTGCAAAAATGAAAACTTGCTGTTATGTTTATTAATGGACATCCTGCTTACAGATTAAAGAGGGGGATCAGTTGACGTTACTGGAGCCTTCTTATCATTGTGTTGATTTTATTTGGAAGGATAAGGTATCTTCTCTTGCATATTGTTGTCTTTGCTTGATTTTGGTTTAAAGGTTGAACCAAGAATTCAGATGCCTGACATTTCTGTTTTCTTGCATGTCTATTACTTGATTTTGCTTTAAATAAGTTATTAAAATAAATAACAACTAAAACAAAATGATACAAGTACCTATAATCTGGTGTGCAATAGAGAAGACTTATTATAAATGTAGAAGAGATGTTACATGCTCATTATGCATGGCACTACGTATTATGAATTATGTGTAATTTAATTAACATAATTGAGACTTGTTAAGGTGAACCGATGTTAAAGTGAGTTTTTGAGTGTCAGATAAGCGTAAAGGAAACTCCTTTTTTATTTTTTTGAGTAGGATGAGCAGAGTAGAGGTGATACCAAAAAAACTGGTTCGCCTAACTAATCAATTGTTTTTTGCCAACAATTTCTTTGACAATTTTTGCCTCAATTTCAGTTTTATTGTTTGAATTCCAATTGGGTTAACAGATCAAGCTGACACATGCACTCAAATACATATAAACATATATATTTCATATTTATCTTTAGTGGCAGTTGGTCTTGAATGTCAAAACCAGTTAGATATTTGATCTCAGAACCTGCTTCCCATGTATATTTGCATGTGTTTGCACACCTTTTATTTGTTTTTGGCCACCTCAATCCTGCTGGGATATATTTGGATATTTGAAGCCATTTATTGTTGGGTCAGAAATTTCATCTTTTCTCCTCCACGCTCTCCTTGTCTCTCTGGTAGGTTTCTAGGGTGTATTTGGTTCTGGGAATGGCAAGTGTTTTATATTGTTTTATACTGTAAAGAACTATCATAAAATGATGATATTGCTATGTTGATTGAATCAGCATTACCATTTCAAATCAATTCGAGTAGATTTCGTAGAGCAAGTCCTTGTGAACGGGAAGGCGCTCTCACCACATCACGCTGTTCGTTCATCAATTTATGCTCAACATAAACCATGAAAAATTGTTTCATTCAAGTGATGTATTTGTGAATGTTGTACTTGTAGGTATGCTTTTTTGTTATATGTAAATATATATATCTTGAATCAGAGACTTCAGTGATTAAATTCATTAAAGATTTGGGTCAAGTCACCTATGTTTCATTATCGAAGAAGTAGCGTGAGCTAATTATAAATGTACCTATCAATTTTCTGTAATCCATACAAGCATTGTATCCAACAAAAAATCCTTACAATTTTAAGACTTTATTTTCAAGGTAAGATTAGGATTTGCATTTTGAATAACTAATTATCATGAAAGCGTAAGTTAGAAAATGAAAAATAGACGGCATAACAAAAAAAAGTTAAGAATTAATTATACATGCAGGAATTCACTCCAAAAAAAAAAAAAAAAAAAAAAAAAATAAAAAAAAAAAAAAAAAAAAAAAAATCATACATATAGGAAAAGTGAAAAGGACATATTTATTGATTTTTAATGATAATTAATATATTTTACGAAGTAGAAAAATTGCATTTTACGTTGCAGCAGAAAAAATTAAAAAATATATAGTTAATTTACTAAATTATGAATCATAAAGAACTACATATATTTTTTCAAGTATCAGCGTTTATTTTTAACCATCTACTTTATTACATTTCAAAAAATTAACAAGCTATTATTTATGTTAAACATTCACATAAAAATTATACAAAACGGTCGTGCAAACCGATATGCGGCTAGCTATTGACGAGAACTATGCTGCGCAGCCAAATGCAAAGATCTTGCTGAATCCAATCTATTCCACCAAGTGCGGAATAACATTATAATAGTCCAACAAAGAACAATACAATACCACCTCACAAATTATCAAATTACGGCGCCAAAAAAAAAAAAAAAAAAAAAAAAAAAAAAAAAAAAAAAAAAAAAAAAAAAAAAAAAAGAGAAAACTACACAATCATTGCTTATAGTAACCACTTTGATGGGAGAGAGGATGGTATGATTAGCGGACAGTGTAAGGCGGGTCGAGGAAGGCGAATCCAGGTTGCTGTCCATGTGCATTGTAGTATGGGCCCCGCCACCCTGGATAAGCAGGTTGGCCGTACTCCCTGACTTTGTCGGTAAAAAAAAAAAAAAAAAAAAAAAAAAAAAAAAAAAAAAAAGAGAAACTACACAATCATTGCTTATAGTAACCACTTTGATGGGGAGGAGGATGGTATGGATTAGGGACAGTGTAAGGCGGTCGAGGAAGCGATCCAGGTTGCTGTCCATGTGCATTGTAGTATGGGCCCCGCCACCCTGGATAAGCAGGTTGGCCGTACTCCTGACTTGTCGGTGGCTGTTGTTGAACCTGTGGAGGTGGGTAAGGAGTACCTGGAGCAGGAGCGATATGGTAAGGAGGTGGCTGCTGGGGAGTACCGTAAGGTGGAGGTGGATGAGAATATCCCAGCATACTCGGCTGCTCCGGAGGCTGGTAGTAATGTGCTTGGGGACGAGGATGGGAAATATTTTGAGGCTCTGCTGGAGGCGGTGGACTTGATCTTGGAGTTTGATGGGCTTGGTTCACTGCTGGGTAGTTGTAAGAACCTGGGTTCTTACGATCTTGAAAACTCAACCCAGCCATTTGTCTCTGTACATCTTCTATCATTTCTCGGCACTGGATGCTTCTGGTCATCACAAAATCACTGCATTGCTGCTTGACATTGGTGATCGCGTCCTGTCACAGAGATTTCAATGTATATATTCATCCTTAATTTTTAACTCAGAAATATCATTTAAAAAACAGATAAAATAGGAATAAAACTAGAAAAAATTAATCATAAGCAACATATGCAATTTTTTACCTGAAGAGTAACGTAAAACTTCAGTCCCTCATTGATATTCTCCTTTATTTCTCGATACTTTGCTATGGCAGCCTGTATCTGCTTATAACACTTTTCACGAGATGCTGAAACAAATTATGAAGAAAATTTATGTCAGAAGAAGTGTGTTCCTTTCAACAAGGAGATGCAAACTGAGAGCATTGTCAGAGCAATAAATTTCCTTTCATGTTAAGACAACCTTTGAGTACAAACAGGCCATCCAAATGTCCAGTTACAAAAAATGAATCAAGGTATTACAAACAGACATTCAAAATTAGAATTTCATGTCATCATAATGAAGCGGCATAAAACTTGATGTGAAATTATGGCAGAGATTATGTGAATTGTAATTGAGAGTTAGAAAAACTATCCCAATAATTTTTACCATCGATTTCCCTAATAATGGATACATTGATGGATATAAGTTGCTCAAACTTATGAAGGTATAAAAAATGAAGCCACATTGCAAAATATTATCTGACAAGGAAAAACAAAAGAGTTCATACACACTAATGCATGAGATCATCTAACATGCAAGCACCATTTGTGACAAACTTTATACATGTTCAGCACTAGTTAGATGAAACTGACACCAGATCATTTTTAGCTGCCATAAATTGATATATTGCTTAATTATGTTGCATAGCGTTTCACATAGTTAAAGGAACAAATGACTACAATTGCCTTCATCTATCTCATGAGGACAAATTATTTTATACAAAAATATAAAAGCAACATGGCTCTACCAGATGTAATTTATTTATTTAGAATGTGAGTGCCATACAAGGATTTAGCCAAAACCTCAGAAATGTATTTACGCCAACCAGCCCAAGTTTATGTTCCAAATATAGATGACGAATGAGTAAAGACCAAGACCAGATCATGAAATTTCTAATCACACTACCATTATGTTAAATGATAACTAGCCGAACAAAACATATACTTGTTCAAAGCACACACATCCAAGTTTATGAAACATAGATAAGGCATGTAGACCAACACCAAATCATGAAATGGACACTAATCACACCATATATATAAAATAGAAAACAATCTGAACCCAATCTAGAGTTCACTGCAACACTTCATGCATCTGACCAGGTTCCCATTCAAAGCCATTATAACTAATATATGCAGAATTTCACACTAGGTTATAATTTCACTATGAAATTAAAGAATATATATATATCAATTGATAATATTTCATTTATGAAACACAGACTATGTAATCAATTACCATATACTTTTTTTTTTTAAACTGAATTATGATATATTGGTCACATACTCAAGAAATTGTTAATGACAAAAAATGATTTCAATTTATATTCTATATCTGAATATGCAACAAATAGCAAATAATGACCTCCTAAAGCTTTTAACCGCAAGACAATGGATAGGTTGATTAAATGCATGCTTAATATACAACTTCACATAAGAAAACTCTTCATTTTGAAGCAACAGTTAAAACAAAACTACCTTTGTAATCTTCAAGATTGAAGACAGCAGAGAACTCCTCATTTTGAGCCTGTAGAAGGACAATAGCTTAGTAAGAGAAGTGCAAAATTAACAGCATGTTTATGCTGGAAAAAAGAAATAACAGCATTGCTGCAGCATTTTAAAAGTCTCAATGAAGAAAGTATTCTATTTATTATTAAGGTTTTTTTTTAGCAGGCAGCTTGCATAGATTGCCATAATAGCATCGCAAAATATTAAAGCAAATATCAAAATGTACATTCAAAAGAATGAAATAGACCTGTATTTGCAACAACACTTGTTCTTGTGCTTCAATATTTTGGGAAATGTCCTCACAGATCTGATCATATTTGGCTATCTCTTTCCTAAAAAGATCTTCATAGGAGCCAGTAGATGTCATCAACTTTGGCAGTATGTCATCCTGAAACCATATATGCATGAACAACACATGAGAAGAAGAACAGAGCACAAGTAAATAGTGGAATAGATGATGCTTAAGTTAGAAAAATTTATAGGAGGACACAATAACTAATCTGCATCCACCATTATGAAAATGGGGTTCCTAACTCATGATAAGAAAATTTCAACCAAAAAAAAAATCATCATTGCAAGCAGTTGATAACACAACATAAATGAGCCTTGATGGCATGCTGTTACACTGGGAGAATCCCAAAGAATTTTACAATCTAGAAGCTGTAATAGTATCTCCAGTAAAGTATAAGAAGCAGTGAATTCAGTGATCCCTATTCAATAAGTAGTCATATGCATTATTCAAAGGCGCCATGGAAGCCAGCTAATGATTGTTTAATCACATATTTCAATGGCAAGAATCTATATGTTCTAGAAGAGTAAGGCTCATGCAGCTTGATGTGTCAAACATCACCTTGATTTTAGGAAATTCTTTTAAAAAGAAAGGAAAATTTTGTTATGCAACAACTAAGCTGCCAAAGAACAGTATGAGTAGAAATTTATTGTCACCTTCCTTTTCATCTCCTTGAGCATATCTTCAAGACCAGCCCGTTGAGCACCAAGAATCTCCAATTGCCGCTGCGTAGTCCCACAGGCAAAAATTGTCAATTGTAAATGAAAGTAGCTCATATCAGAATTCTAGAAACGGAATTTCAAGAACCAAGTTTAGACATTTAATCATTTTTCGCTTCCTTTCCTAACAAAGTAACAACGCATCCCAGTGTTGTCAATAGTGCTAGTCGCCCTTGAGGCGAAAAGGTCCATCATTGCCCCAGGCACTAGGCAGCGCTCAAGGCGCTCGCCCAAATGATGTGAGGATTCAAAAATTCTAGATGACTCAAAATTTAGAATTCTATATTGGTTCCAAAAAGCATTAGATAATTTATAATTCTAGATGTATTGTTAAAGAATCAAAGGTTCAAAAATATATAAAACTTCATGTATTGAAGTTGTACTTCAGGTTGAGACCGAGTTCGTTAGTTAAATTATTGTTCCTCAAGCTGAGATAGAGGATTTTTCTTCTTTATTTTGGTTGAGTTCTGCTGTGTCTTTTCATGTAGCAGACGTCCTACATGCTTTCCTTTCCTGATTATTAGATTTTATTTACCTAATTCTTTGATTGGCTCTCAAACTTCCAAATTTGAAGCCACTTTCATCTGTTCTTTTTTTCCATATTTGTTGTAGTTATTTTTAATGGTTAGATTAGATTTTGATCTTTTTATTTAATGACTGTCAAAGTTTCCAATTTTCAGCCGCTTTCCTTTTTTTTTTTTTCACATATTTGTGTTAAATTTTGACCTAATTATTTAATGGCTGTCAAACTTACTATACTCCAGCCGATTTTAACTTTTTTTTCCATATATGTACTTCTACTAAATGTTAACCTAAGATTTTAATATCTATACGGGAAATAGGCAATTTTTTATTTGAGGCGCTCGCTTGAACCTTGCTGCACCTTAGCGCCTAGGCAATGACTAGTTGATGTCGCCTTGCCTGAAGGTATACCAGACACCTACCCCTCGCCTTGCCTCAGAGCCAAGGCAAGGGACCTGGAGCACCTACTGACAACACTGATGCATCCTTCCAAATTTTTCTTAATCAAAATATTTTATGATAAAATCATATTTAACCTAGTGGCTCACATCATTCACACTGATCTGCAACATATTTCAAATATTACAAGATGACTAGTACTTCAGACATTAAAAAAAGGGAAAAAAATCTAAATTTTATTGCCCTAGTAGCTAATTAGGGCAGTTCTGTTATTTCACAAGCAAATATACTTCCTCCTGTGATGTCAAGATTTTATTCTCAACAGTGAATCAGAAAATAGGTCAGGTTTGCCTTTGACAATAATTGTATATGAGTATAGATTGGACGAGGTACTGGAATACAAAATTAACTTTCAACTGAAGCTATAACTTCAATCGTTGTGTGTATGCGCGTGCCATGAAATGCTCACGGGAAGCTAGCCCTAACATGTGCCATTCATAGAAGAAGACCAAGAGAAAAAATTATATAAAAAAAATGAACTTGCATGACATGATCCAGGCATTGAAAAAGCATCAGCATTTTCCCTCCTTTCTTTTTTCCTTTCATTTTTTCCGTTCTAGGAGCTCGGTTAGGGGAAAACTTGAAATTCAAAAAAAAAAAAAAACAACATTCATAAGCACACTTTTAAAAATAATCAAAAAGTTCAGCATTGAAAGAAGAATATACCAAGCTCTGCTTCAGCGACCCCACTATAGCATCTTCATTGGCATCCAACGACATTATTGGCCGAGCCAGAGTTGGAAGAGCAGATTCTATCTGATAACGTCAAAAGGATCATGAAAATATTATACAGTAACCACGTATTACTCCAATAGAATAGAGCATTAGTATATTATGCAATAGAAGAAATTAAAAGTCAATAAATATTTTGGAGATTTAATCCCACAAGTGGTGCTCTTTCTTTCACTGATCAATATGTCTGGCATAGATCAAATGAACACAACAATTGGCAAAAAAAAAAAAAGTAAGGTTAAATTCCTTAAGAACATTATCAGCAAAGAAAAATTAATGAATTATGATTCCTCTGAGACACACATGAAAAATAATGCATATTGTTTAAATGACATACCGGTCGGCGGTCAAGGATTGACATGAGTGGAGAATGATCCCTTACTGAACGCTCTATTCTGCCATCACTGTCTGCAGCTTGCTTCAAGTTAGCTGCAAATCTATTTAACCTATCCTGCAAGTTCTTTGTCAAAGTGCTGGATTGAGGCCTAGTCCACCGTGTGCCAAATTGGCTTCTAAATTGAGCATCTTCTGTTGCTTCTTTCTGTAAAAGCTCCTCAGTCTGGACCAGCAATTCTTGGTTCACCCTTCTCAAATCTCTAAGTTGCTGCAATTCAGCTTCCAGGCCAGCTGGTCCCCCACTAATCTGCACTGCCTCCACATCTTCCTTAAGATCTGCTGGAAGCGTAAAATTTCCTTCCAAAGCAAGAATTGATTCTGGCAGGTCCATTTCCTTGAGCCTCACTCGAGTTAGCTCACTGGCTTGCTGTAATTTCTCAGCTTGTGTCCTTATAACTTCATCAACCATCTCAGTATACCTTGAAAGAGCTTTTGCACTACTGTCTGGAACAAGACTTGCGAACATCTTTTCCTTGCTTGCATCTAATACCTCATTCATTGCCATCGGCTTTACCATAGAAAATGCTGGAAGAGGAGGCAAGGAACTTGGAGAAGGAACCCTCATGAGGTACACCCTATCATTTTCCTTCACAGCCCTATCCAAATTGCGATTGATATTGGATTCAAGCTTGCTAATTGCTTCTAGAAGCTGTGCTGCAGCCCCCTTAGAGCTTTTCTTTGCCTCAGATAAGGCACTGACCGCACTCTTTAACCGTGCAATTTCTTCCGCCACTTCTTCTTTCTCATGCAGCTCTAAACCATACCGATAACAAGCTTCAGCATAGAACAAAACTGCCTTCAACTGGACATGAACAATCCAAGGCCTGTCAAAATGATCCTTCAAAGGTGCAACATTCAGTGCAGCTAAAGCTTCCTCATAATATAGCCCAACCTGAAATTATTAGCATCCCATATCAACTTAAAACAAACAAATTCAAACAAACACATATTCAACTAGCCAAAATCCCATGTCTTCATTTCATAGCTCAATCGAATCTAAATTTTGCAAAAGAATATCTCAGGCTGCTACACGCATAAGACAGCTAGTTATATTGACACTAAATCACCAGAATTTATAACATTTGTAACAATCAAGGGAAAGCAAAAGTACAACAGCCTCTATCAGAACTCTATTAAATGTGCAGATTTTACAGGTATTTATGATACAACAATAGCACAATGAAATCATTCTCTATTGCTAAGCAACTGATGAGTCAACTACAAACTCACGAAATTGAAGCCCAAAATTACCTATAACACTGTGCCCATAAAACGTTCACCACCTTCTTACAGTACCAATATTATGTCATCATTTCCACTGCAGGACTAACAATAAATATATTAATATCCAAAGCATTCTAGCTTCTCCAATAACTTATGCACTTCTTTGGAAACAAAAATCAGCTGTAGCTTATGAATACATTACTCCAGTATAATCGCCTGAAAGAAATCACTTGTTCTGTAACCCATTCTCATAATTCAGCTAAATTTACCACTTATATGCAGGTCACAAGTCAATCGATCCATCCCTTACGGTACCATAATACCCATAATTACATATCAATAAATCTAAAACTTTTTTACATTTTCACCATCATCATCCAAAATTAAACAAACACTCAACAAATTAAACACAAATTAAAAAAAAAAAAATTGCCACTTACCTGCCTCGCAATCTTAGCGCAGACCCCTGGAGTACTCCCTTTAGCAATGGTATTCTCAAACACACACTCCTGCGCTTGAGCCAGCATCAACCTCTCCAACATTCCCACACACTCAACAGACACATCGACGGTCGTACTCGATCCCATCGACGCCTTAGTCGCTGCATTATCTCTCAAATAAGCAAACGCCCCTGCAGCTGCAATAAACGAATGAATAGCCTGCCGTCTCCCTTCTACAGTAGTGCGATCAAACGAAAGCCCAATCTGACTATACACAGCACCCAAATTGAAAAGAATTGCAGCCTTTTCTAAATGAATATTCTGCTGCGAAGCCTTCTGCTTCTGCTTAAACGCATCGTACCACACAAACGTCACACTATTGATGTGATCTTTATCCGGAGAGATAGGGAAGCGAGTTTCAACTAAGCAAAGGGCTTTATAGTAATTCTGAAGGAGGTCACGGCGAGAAGTCGGTGAAGGATCAGATTGGCGTTCTACATCGGTGCGATACTGCTTAAGAGTTTGGAGGTCGTCTTCTAGGTTTTGAGCTTCGCGCTCAGAGTAGAACATGGCGATATAGTTGCGGAGAGGACGGTAGAGGTCAACGGAGGTGGTTTTCTTCTCGTAGATTGCTAACATGATATTGGTTGTGGCCGCGGCGGAGGATTGGGCGGCCATCGGTGGAGAATCGGATCGGATTGAAGATTTTCAGTTGAAGAAGAGTGTGAAAATGAGAAATATAACAACGCTTTGTTGATCGACTCTCCTGGCAATTTCGTTGCACGTTTTTTTCTTCTTGGCAAAGGAATGTAGGAAAAATATCAACCAAGCAAGAATGGTTAACCTTCTAGTGAAGTTTTTAGTTTTTACGGTTTGCTAACGGCAAATTCTTGTAAATTTGTTTGATAAAACTAAATCAAATTACTTAATTTTCTTAATTTATTTAGAAAATTGAAAAACCCGTTAAATTAATTAAAATAATTGGTTAACCGGATTTTTAATTTTACAAAATTAATGATCAACTGATCAAACAAAATTGAAATAATATAATTTATAAGAAATAAAATATGCTTGTCAAACAACTTTTCTTTTTTTTTTTTTTAAAGGATTAAACAAATATTCTTCTAAAACTAATTTTCTTAGATATCCTTATCAAATTGTAATGTAACCTTTAATATTTTATGCAATTAATATAATAATGATGATAATTGCAATGATAAATTTTTTTTGAATATGATAGATATTAGGATTTATTAATAAAAATATATATGACCGAACTTGTGACTAACACAATTTTCAGTGTAGCGGGTGAAAATGTTTAAAATACCCCTTGTATATTGCTGATAAATTCCGTTGCATTGAACATGTAGGGTGCATTATGAACATTTTGACTTGTTATAATGAAAATTATAATAGACCTAAGTTAAGCTATTTAGCACAACACCTTATTAATGTTAATGCAAAGAATATAGGGAGGACAAGACTCTCTTTTGAAAATCTGACGTAAAATAAAATTATTACTCTCTCTGTCCTAATTTTTTTTGTATGATTTAACTTACACATGTATTAAGAAATTTTAGTTAATATAGTTAAACTATAATATCAAAGTCATCTTAGGCTTTAGGTTTTCTCTCCTTCTCTTTTCTCTCTAGCCTATCTAATTCTAGTTTTTGTTTGGTGCTGCTACTGTTAATCAGTGATAGCTCCCTATCCCTACTTTCATTTTTTCTTCTCGCTCTTGATCTTTTATTCGTTTTTTATAAACTCATACCTATTTTCTTCTAACAAATTTATTTTTTCTTTGTTTTTTGTTATTATTGATTTGTCTTTGTATTTGAAGTTTTTTTGTCCATTCTTCTGTGAGGGTTTAGTTTCTTTTTTGTGAAGATTTGTTACTAAAAGATATGATATTTGATTTGATTTGGTTGGAGAATTTAAATCTTATTTCATTGATGTGTATCTTCGATCAATGAAGCTTAATAGTGTGACATATTCCCCCATTGATACTATTAACTCATAATGACAAAAACTCACTCGTGTATGTCATATGCAATAAATTTTTGGAAAAACCATTCAAGCATAGAAGATTTGAAAAAGTTATTTTATCATCCAAATCAATTAAATGACTAATGAATATTTATATCGGTCAAGGTTATCTTTAAGCCAAATAGTTCAATATTGTTTCCTTTAATTATAGTTTTTTTATTTAAAAGAGTATAGATAATTCATTTGATTTGTTAAAGGATCAACGAATTTTATCTAATTGAGTATTTGTAATACTTGATTTTATTATTAATGAATTATATTTCCCAAAAGAAAAAAATATAATTTTTATTTTATTTTTTCCTAATATATTCTTATGTTAATATCCACTAAAATTAAACTATCTATATTAAATTATTCTTGAAATTAATCAAACATTGGAAAGTTAAAGGTTGGTGTTTAAATTTTATTTATATCAAGATTTAATAATTTAATAGTTTGACTACTATGTTGACAAAGAAACATATCGAATAAGGGTAAAATAGTAAACTTACAATATTATTTACTTCGAGAGAAGGATATTTTGGAACAAGCGAAAAAAGAAAAAAAGATAAAAGTTATGAGACAAAAGGAGTATAACGAAAATAGTGATAGAACCGCGCGTACCATCCAACCCCGAATTAGTATGATATTGTCTGCTTTGGGCCAAGCCCTCACGGATTTGTTTTTGGGCACCTCCCAAAAGGCCTCATACTAATGGGTTGGGTCTTCGAGAGAAAGGATATTTTGGAAACAAGCGAAAAAAGAAAAAAAAGAATAAAAGTTATGAGACAAAGGAGTATATAACGAAAATAGTGAATAGAACCGGCGCGTCGAACCATCACCCGAATTAGTTATGATATTGTCTGCTTTGGGCCAAGCCCCTACGGATTTTGTTTTTTGGGGCAACCGATTTGTTTTTGGGCACCTCCCAAAAGGCCTCATACTAATGGGTTGGGTTTGAACCATTATATTTTGGTTCCACTTCTCCTCTTTATTCGATGTGGAACTTGGGAGGATATCCCAACAAATAGTACAACAAATTAGCAGAACAGAGTCATTGATTTAATAAGAAAACTTAATTAAAAAATTGAAAGACGAAAAGTGAACTTGAAAAGATTGTTGGACCTTCAAAGTGGCTAACTAAATAAATTCTCTAAATCTTTTGTATATAGTTTAACTATTTATGAACTAATTATTTATGACAAACACAAATAGTTTCAATTATTAAATTCAGTAGAGTAATATGCAGCATTACAGGCTCCAATAAACAAAGATCATCATTTATTTAATAAATCCTCCATAAATTGAACATATATCCAAATCAAAACAAATCAAATGTAAAAAGTAAAAGAAATACTCCACGTAAAATAGAGAAATACAAGCTTCACACAATATGGAGAGAGAATACAAAGAATCGCATAAATATAAATAACATAAATCAATATCAAATAAATATAGACCTATAATTTATTAGAAAAAAATATAAAAATTTGAAAAAAAAAACCCGGAAAAAAGAGCTAAGGATTGCTGCGAGAGACAAGAATCAATTCCTTCCATATTTACATACTTGATTCTTGTGTTTTAATAAATAAAAAAATGAGTTTTAATATAAGGGAGAAGAAAGAGGGACTATACATTTTTTTTCAACCATTCCTCTTACTTTTAGTCTAGATGCAATTATGTATATTACAATGCTATATATATGACATATGAAAAAAAAAAAAAAAAAAAAATAAAAAAAAAAAAAAAAAAAAAAAAAAAAAAATTCGTTACATAAGTTGGATCGTTATCCCACATCTTTCATTTCAAATTCATCCTTTAAAAATTTTATTGTCTTTGGCAATTCCCTAAGAATTTCAAATCATTAATATAAATTACTTTGATCTATATAAACATATTTATAATTTAATCAAATATATATTATGGAGTTTCAAATTACATGTCTCGAGCATTTTTAGTCTTTTATAGATATCATTATCAAGTAATCTATATAGACAAACTATGACAATGTCGTATATTTAAATTTAGAGTCTTTTAAAATTGCGAAACTAATCAGAAATTTGAATGTAACTATAAAATAAGTCTCTATTGTTGAATTCAATTTTTTTATGAAAAAGACCTTATACGGCAAGTCATACTTCATATCTCACATTTTTCCAAATTATGTTTTACATAAATACCTATTTATAGTTTATAAGCTTTAAATTTTCAAGTGTTTGGACAACAGGTAAAAAAAAAGCCTTTTTAAAAAAAAAATTGGCATTTTTTAAATGAATTTTTTATTAAAATATATTAGGATTTTATCAATAATTTCAAATAAATACAAATAATATAAATATTTATTGTTCAAAAGATAAAAATCATTATCAATTTAAAAAATTCTCCACAATCTACACACTGTCCAAATAAAACAAAATAAATAAATACTTCACGTAAAATGGAAAGATCACAAGCTACACACAATATGAAATAAACCATAAAATCGTTATAGAAACATAACTAATATAGACCATTGCCAAACAGACATAGATCTATAATGTATTCTCAACAACAGTTTCACTTTGGTTCTCATCTTTTTTTTTTTCTTTTCATTTTTTCCTTTGTGAATCTTTAATGAATCCATTACATTTATTGATTCTATATGATCTAAAATTTCTATTAAGCATAAATTCTATTATAAGGCTTCAAACTTGTGAATCCATTCCTTGCATAAATAAGTTTTTTATTTTATATATATATATATTTTTAATTCATTTAATTCTTGCTCACGCATATGATGAAAAATTGTCATGTCTATTTTTTCGGATGATTTATTTATAAGAATTCACCTATTGCATTTTTAATGATATGACATACGGATTATATATATTACGAAGAATTCTTCAAAAAAAAAAAAAAAATGGTATCTTTCACAATAGAGTTTAATAAGTGATAAACCGAAAAAGATGTATATTATACATGTAGAGTTAGAAAATGAAATTTTTTATCTAAATTCTTTTTGCATGCATGTAAATTCACTAAAATAATTTATTGAAGTTTCTTTATTATCACCATTTTTGGGCACCTAAAGCTCTTTTGAGATTATTTATTCATTTATGTGAATTATCATGGACTCTTATTATTAGTATTAATAACTTCTTTTATCCTTCTTCTTTCCTAAAAAAAAAAAAAAAAAAAAAAAAAAATTCAAAAAAAAAAAAAAAAAAAAAAAAAATCCTTTTATCCTTGGAATAGAATCATGTTTCTAACAAAATGATTTCTATTTTTAGAATTTATTTAGTTCTCAAAGTCTCAACTATAAACTAAATGTAAAGACAAAATTTATGGTAGCATGTATTGGCCTGATGCATATAAACATTGTTGCATGTAAAATTATATATCTGCAAATTGAAATAAAAAGTTCTGTTTCATAAATAACGCTCTAGCTATTAATTTTGTTTCATATGAGTACTGCATAATTATAAATTATAAACATAAACAATTGAAATATTCTGTCTTGAAATGATTTTGGTAGAAAAAGTTTATTTTTTCCATCAGAAAATGATAGGTGGATGAGTATGAAAATTGATTATAGCTGAAATAGTCACCAAATAAATAGCTTTTCTCATTAAGTTGTCAAATTTAATGCTCTAGTACAATTGGAGATAATTGAAAAAATTCAAGTTAATTTCTTTATTTTGATAATTTTTATTTCACATGTAAATTTTTATATTTTTATTTTCAAATATGAGAAAGTTGTAATTTAAAATTTTACCTTTTTTGACCAGTAACACCAAACAATGTATTACAATATTCGTTTAGATCCTATTATAATCTCATTAAATACATTTCCCTGTCAATAAGGAAAATGATTAATTTACCAGTATTGAAACCACGATATTTTTTATCATATTATTGATTTATTTAGACATGGTTCAATGTATTACAATATTCTCTTAGATCCTATTATAATCTCATTAAATATATTTCCCTGTCAATAAGGAAAATGATTAATTATAATCTCATTAAATATATTTCCCTGTCAATAAGGAAAATGATTAATTTACCTGTATTGAAACCGCGATATTTTTTATCATATTATTGATTTATTTAGACATGGTTCATGGGTTCAATTATCAACTGAACTAATAAAAAATAAGTTTTTATTAAAAAAGAATATTTCTAACCATACACTAGGTAATACGGATCTGTCACAACTCATCAATGAAAGCATGGAGAACGACATAAGAGATCCTTTGGTGCTTCCTAGTGGGCCAATTACACGGAATCGTACCAAGCGCTATGGGGTAGCCATGTCCTCATATGTTCAAGACCAAGTTTCACAAGAGCTTCATGACCGAGCATTTTTAACAAGTGTTGTGTAGAACTTTAAGGCACACCTAGGCTTTTTGTATTGTTGGAGGCAAGTGTTGAAGGAGAAGCACGCCCTGACCATGCTAGAATCTGACCCTTGGAGGCTTGTGAAGTGTGGAGAAGCACGCCCGTGCTGTGTAGCATGCTTTGGCCATGCTAGGGCCTGAGTTGGACGTGTTTTATTCTTAAAATGCTTTATTTGGTTTAGCCTTTTATTGTCTTTGTATGAGCTTTTGTTAACGGGTCTTTTGTATTAGATTAGCCCAATTATGTTAGTTTCTAGTATAAATACTATTGTCTTCTTTATAAACAATTTAACTTTTGATCAAATTAAATTACAGAAATTGTTCATGCTTTGCATGTTCCTTTGCTTAGAGTGATTGTGAGAAATTATTTTTCTCTAATTGCATCAAGAATTAAGATAGACTATCAATTTATTGTGGCATTTATCTTGTTCTTATTCTCAATTATTGGTGTTTTCGTTTCTTTATAAACGAGATTTACCATAGAGGGGAATTTATCTTTATTTTTAATCTAATCCACTCGATTAGAGGGTTCTAGGAATTCATTTCCTTTGGGTTCCGCATCACTAGGGGAAAAAAAATATAAGATCATAGGCTCGAGATAAAATAGGAATAATTTTTAAAAAATTTAATTTAATCCATATATAGAATCATAGACCCGCCTTAAACAACACGGGAAATAAAAAATTGGGGAGAACAATTTGCGTGGTGGCATCACCCCGATAGTGTGAACTACTCACACAATTTGTGTGATTATATATAGTGTGAACTACTCACACAATTTGTGTGCGATTATTTATATATATATATATAAGTATATATTATTTCCAACTTCCTAGGCCTGCCATTGGCCCCTTTGAATATATATTCAAACTCTCCTAGCCTCATTGCCCCTTTGAAAATTTGGATGTACCACAAATAAAACTGAGATCCTTTTCTTTCCCCTTTGGCATGAAAATCTGAATTCAAGCAAAAATGGAACTGATCTGCAATATTGAGCCGATGGGAGTTTTAGCGAGTTTTATAAGGAGCTGCTTGTTCCATGTCTTGTCCGTTGGTCCCATCCCTTCTCATCTCGCCTTCATAATGGATGGAAACAGGAGGTTTGCCAAGAAGGAGAAGCTAGGACCAGGAGCTGGTCATAAAGCAGGATTTTCAGCTCTCATGTTGATACTCAAGTACTGCTATGAGTTGGGAGTGAAGTACGTAACTGTTTATGCCTTTAGCATTGATAATTTCCGAAGGCGACCTGAAGAGGTTAAGATCGTAATGGATCTAATGTTGGAAAAGATTGAAGGGATTCTCAAAGAAGAAAGCGTTGTCAATCAATATGGTATTAGAGTTTATTTTTTAGGTAACTTGAACCTTTTAACTGAGCCAGTGAGAGTTGCAGCACAAAAGGTTATGAAGGCTACTGCTTCTAACACCAAGTGTTTGCTTTTTATCTGTGTAGCCTATACTTCACTAGATGAGATCATCCATGCTGTTCATGAATCTTGTAAAGATAAATTGATCAAGAACACAATCTTTCCAGATAAACCCTGCACTGATGCAATTGAAGGAGAAGAAAAAGATAGCATAAAATTGGTAGACCTTGAGAAGCACATGTACATGGCACTAGGTCCTGAGCCGGATGTCCTTATTCGAACTTCTGGTGAATCTCGTCTGAGTAATTTCTTACTTTGGCAGACTAGTCACTGCACTTTGTATTCTCCTGATGCACTATGGCCGGAGATTGGTTTGTGGAACTTGGTGTGGGCAGTACTGAATTTTCAGCGCAACCATTCTTATTTGGAGAAGAAAAAGAAGCGGTCCTAAAAATATTAATGCTTCATTTTATGCCATTCTGTGTATATCAGTATCTGTAAGAGTACATTAAATGGAAGAAAAATGATTAAAGTATGAAAAGGACAGTGTATGCTTTGAATATACCAAGCAAGATATATGGAAACCACTAGGATAATCCAGTATCGAAAATTACTAAAAAGAAAACAACAATACGAGGAGGATATAATTAATTTGGTAGAATCTTACGAATGACATAATTATTAATTTAAAAAATTAATAAATAAATAAATAAATATATGAAATTAATTAGATTCTAGCTGACACATGGTTGGATTGAAAAAAAAAAAAAAAAAAAAAAAAATTTGCTAATCTTAAATTGCATATGAGCAAAACTTACTTTGCAGCCCCTTATTGAAGGAAATGGAATGGAAGACGCTTTACTAGAGTAATGAAAGACTTACCAATTTATGAGCATGTCTAACAAGTTGAAAATCGTTTTCATTGAACATTGTAGTTAAGGGTATAAATGAATGGAGCTGAGCTTGACCTTGTGAGGCTCAAAGTTCGGCTTGAAACTCGACGGTCTGAAAATTCTAATTGAGCTCAAATTCAACTTAAAGTTTGAATTCAACTCGAAAAATTTTAAATTTGAGATGGGCTCGAGGTTCAAATAAGCCTAAAATAAATATGGTACATATATATACAAAAGCTCGATCAAGTTCGATAATCTTAAATTGCATATGGGCAAAACTTACTTTGCATGCTTTTTCGAACTTTTTTCCAGCCAAGTTCTAACCGTCTCGGTTCATTTACACTTACTAAACAATTACTGCAAATAAATTTAAAACTCAAGATTCTAAAAATTTTTACTTCTGCTTCAAAAGAAGTTAAGTTCGAGTGGATCCAACTCCATCAATAATTGTCTGTATACAAAAAGGTTCAATTTTTAGACATGCATTTGCAATTTTGCATTGTTTTTCTTGAATTTGTATTAACATATAAATGTTTGGGTTTGCAGTTTCTTCCAACCAGGAAATAATTGTAATTTGTTCATGAATTGGTAAACTTATGAAATTCCTTTTTTTTTAGAGGTTACTTTTGAAGTCCAGAGAAGTTCCAGATCAGAAGCAAGAAAGGAGGAGATGCGAATATGGGAATTACAAGTGTGTGTTTATAACTTTATATTATCCCCTTGTCTTAATTGTGTTGAAGCAGAGAATCCCCTGCCATTCTTAAGCATCTTTCTAACAGAGAAGCTTTCATTCTGTCCGTCGAGGTTAAATTTTCCGGCCACCATGCACGGCGGCGACAGCGGTGGTCCGGCGAGGCTCCGGTGAGACTCCGGCGAAGACCCCGAGAGGCAGAATGATCTCCTCTTCGCGCGGATCACGAAAATCAAATCCAATTTTTGATCGGTACATTGTAAGGCCTAGTATGGGTACCACCAAACCTTTTCGGCCAATTTTCGGCCAAATGGTTCACACCCACCTTGATTTGAACACATATTAGATCCTCTCATCGAACGAATGAAATGAATGTATTGGTGTTCAATTTTCGTTTGAAGGTTAAATTTTTTTCGGCCACCGTGCAACGGCGGCGGCGGCGGCGGCCGGCGACCGGCCGGGCCGAAGACTCCGGCGAGACTCAACGAGAGACAGGAATGCTCTCCTCTCTCACGCGGCATCACGGAAATGGAAATCTGATTTTCAATCGTTAACACTCTTAAAGCTTTAATTTGCAAATTTTTGAAATAAAATCCCGAATTAATTAATTAATGAACTTAATTAAGTATTTAAGTAAATTTAAAAATTAAATTATTATTAATATATTTTATTGGAATATAATATAAACCTATAAAGGTTGGTACAAAAAAAAAAAAAAATATTATATATATATATATTAAATTCCTGCTAATAATAAATTTAGGAATTTTATTAAACAAAAATAGTTATAGGAACAATTTAATTATAATGGGATTAATAGTGAATTAAGTGACCGAAATAAATGACGTTTATTTGCGGACGGGGGATTAGTGGCATATGAAGTTGCCCGATGGATGAACTTTGTGCTGTGTGGAATTTGTGAAAATTTGAAAAAATTGGGATAGTCCAGTTTATAAGAGAAATGCTGCCGAATTAGTTATATTTTCTTAGAAGTAGTGACGACGAAAATTTGAGGTATTAAGAAATACTATACAATCATTAGCATTATCATTATACAATATTGCTCACCGTGATATTTTAGAGATTTTAATCTAAAAGGTTATAAATAGAAATAGTATTTATATAAAATGAGAAAACTAAGATATAATGCATATATACCAAGTGTGGACATTAAATGACCGGTGGTTAGCAAAAATAAATAATACAATGTGAAATTATAAGTTTTTGGAATTAAAACTCCTTATTTAGAATTTTCTTGTTTTGTTTAAAGGTTTATAAAAAATACCCAATAATCCGGGACAAAAGGCTGAAGCATGTGGCTAAAAAGGCAGTCCCTTGTAAAAGGATAATAAAGAAATGTGGAGTAGTGTTTAATAACTAGTACCCATCCCGCCCCTGCCATCATGCATTTCACGGCTAAATGTTATCATGCATTAAATTTATTGGAGTTGCCATTGATTATGGATGGCACCTATTTGTTGATATTAAAATTGTTTGATTCTTTTGCTAATGAACATACTATGCCTTTGTTTGGTGTGGAAATGGGGATGAAGTGGAACCACCATGGTTTGGGAGGACGGTCCATGTTGAATATGGATCTAAATAATTATAGAATATTGATATTTGAACGTCGGCCTGGGAAAATGGGAGAGATCCGGCCCCCCGTTGTCACCTGATTGATATGGGATTGTAGGAAAACCCACAAGGATGGCTCCTTGTTGGTTGCGCACCTTATAATTCTAGACTTTGATTGTAAGGGCCCGGCAGGGATGGCCTCCTGTATGTGAGCACTCTTTGAATGATCTTAGAATGGGATGGAGACCCACCGGGGGTTGCCTCCTTCGGTGGTTATGGGAAAAGAAAAAGAAGAGAATGAAAAAAAAAAAAACAATGAAGGAACTGGTCAGTGAGGGATTAGGGACCAGTTGGCCGTATGGGGATCGGCTCCCTGGTGCAGCATGTATGAAGGCGAAGCCATGTGTTGGAGAACAGGGCTCGTTGGGGGTTCAGGTGGTCCACTGACTTAATTTCCACGTCGATTGTTATAATGAAGGTGATAATAAAAACTGATTGCATGTTGGTATTTGCCATTTGTGTGACAAATTGCATTGATCATATAATTAAATGGTGTCAAATAGAAATATTCTAGGCCATCTGTGTGATTGTTGTGGGTTGAGAGGGTTATCTAACCCTAACTCATTGAGTTTGGCGCTCACCCCTGCCTTACTATTTTTTTAGGTACTAAGAAAGAAAGGGAAAAGGCCCTATGGAGTTGAAAATACGTATTACAGAAGACTTTTAATGACAGAAATAAATATGTAAAATGTAAAGGTAGAGTTTCCGCCAAGTTGTATTCCAGGTTGGGTGTTAAGTGCATTAATGAAAGGTCCAGATTTAATATATGAACTGTACTTTTGGATGCATATGATATAATAAGTTTAATGGGGCCCTTAATTCCATAATTATTTGAATAGAATGTGTGGAACTAATTGAGTTAGCTACTACGGGGCTTCGGGCCGGCCTTAAGGGGCCCCACCAGGTCCCTAGTGCCGGTCCGGTCCCATGGAAATGGGTCGTTGACAAAGTGGTATCAGAGCATAAAGTTGGGCCTTAGGAATCAATTGCGGAAAATATGAGAACTAAGACTTTGAGACGATAGCGCATTCAACATGACCATCCTCGTTAGGGTAGTGCTCTGGCCCTGTGCTTAAACTACGAGGCAAAGACCTGCTCCTTTAGTCATCGGTTCTCAATTTCATTAGTGCCGTTGTGCAGGACGCAAATCGTGCACGAGGATGCGAAAGAGAAAAGTCCTCGTTTAGGATCTTAGGAAACCTTACTTAACGGAACCAGGACGAGGACATTAAAATAGCATAAAGTTAATGTACCAGACAAATTTCCAGAGACTAGTAGGAAAAGTTCAAACAAAAGAGTCTAGCTGCCTTGTTCATCTACCTTACGTTTTCTAAAAGGGTTATACATAAAATATGAGTTTTTGCTTAAATTCTCCTCCATTATTATGTAGAAAAAGTCCGAGAGACCCAGATCAAGTTAAGAAAATTCTTGGCCATTGATCGCCTCGTAATCACACAATTACATCTGTGGATTCGGATCATGAATAAGACACTTGCTTCAGAAAAGTGTATTGCATAATGACATTGAATATTGTGAAAGAAGACCTATTTAGATATTTTTTAGTTCATTATAGAGGAATAAGAAAATTGATTTTAGAAATAGACAAATATTGAAAAAAGGTGAACTTTTATTTGCGAATACACATTTGATTCGACGTGACAATCCAAATGTTTTGATATATTTGCCTTATTAGAAACCCTAACAAAATTGATTTTATGACCATAGTTTTCATTATATCTCGTATTATTATATTTAAGTTCAAATTTGATATACGGGTATTTGTCATAAAATAGACTAATATTAATCCATACAATTAAACCATATAATTACGAACTGAATTGTATGTTTGATTTATTTATGTACTCATTTATAATTGTACCTCATAATTATATATTGTTCTGAAATTCGCCGTGTGCACTCACAATTAGGACTAAAAAAATAAAACAATCCAATAAAAGAAGATATAAGATGAAGGTGTATACCGCGGTAAGTGCAACCGTTGTCAAAAGAAGTGTGAATTTATTATTATAGAACTATATCCTTAAGCATTCTTAGCACATGGTCCAGCCCGAGATATATAATGGGCTATATACAACGCATCTAAATCCATAAATAAGCATAAACCCTTTATAAAGTGAATTGTATGGAAGATGATGAGAAAAGTCAACTTGGGAAAATGAATGGGAAAGGAACTGGATGGCTGTAAGGAAACTTAATAAACTAACAGGAATTTAATCGTAATTCTAGTAGGAGTATGTAGGATATAAAGAGCGGAGAACTAATTTCAACAAATATTTATAATCTAGAGATATAAAAAAATAA